GAGTTCATTAAATAAGGATCTAACCACTGTTTAGTTTAATTATTCCACTCTTATTTCAACTTGCAGCCTACTAATGTATAAGGGAATCAAATGGTCCCGAGCGAGATACATGCCAAAGGGCCAAATATAGCAGATGGAAAGAGTTGGCCAAAAGTAGAGAGTAGGATAACAAGCCAACCAATTGAACAAAAGCAAGTAGACCGAGGGATAAGAAGAGATATCCCGCCATGACAATTGTTTCACCAATCTAAGGAGGAGATGCATAAAATTGACAAGTGATGGCCTGACCGTCTGTACGACTACTCTTAAAACAATTGATAACTAATGACTGATAGCTCAAAACTTAAGAAACATTATCTACATTTCACCAAACAACTCTAACTTTCTATAAATACAAGGGTGGTAAAATATAAATTCACTTTTTTTTTGAGAAATATAAAGACAAGAGACTTATTTTCCTACTCTATAAATATTTAACTTTCTTTCCAACACTCTATTCCATGGATGTGATATACGAACAAGTTCAATTCTTTCATACTTATCTAAATAAAGGAGACTTATTTTCGTATTCTATAAATATTTAACTCTCTTTCCAACACTCTATTCCATGGATGTGATATAAGAACAAGTTCAATTCTTTCATACTTATCTAAATAAATATATAATGAGATATTTGATCAATTATATGCAACACGAGGCATATAGAATTAAATATTTATCATGTCATAGCAAAAACAACCTTACCTATTGTCATTCATTAAATATTTGCTTCGAATACATGATAAACCCAAATTAATTGTTTACTCACATTTTTAAATTAATCTCCTTTATATGTATCTATGTAAATCAAATATATTTATCTCCCAAATTCGTGTTTTTTTATATATCAATCATCCAGAAGCTTAAATACAACGTATTTACCAACCAAACTTAAAATTTTACATTTAAACTACTTAATAATCATTCAAAATTTTAAATATATCGGATTGATCGTTTTTATTTCAAAGGAAATTAAATTTTTGAGTGGTTGAAATTTAAATTCTAAATTTAAACAGTCAAAATATTATATATAAAATTCTGTATTGGTAAAAAACCCAAATTTTTATCATAAGAATTGCAGTCCATTAGAACTCAATCAAGTTACGGCATAGGCAGGGTTGACCCGCTTTTCAGGTTCTTACCTGTTGGCCGTTTGAGCGTCTCGCATGCTCGCGCTCGGACGAGTCCAGAGCAGTATGCGGAGAGCGCAAGGGAAACCTTGATCTCCTCTTCCGGTTAGATTGGGAAGCGTGCCCCTGAAGGCGACGGCGGGATGGCGGCGGAACTAGGGCAACAGACGGTGGAGTTCTCCACCCTCGTCCGGCGAGCGGCAGAGGAGTCATATCTCTCTTTGAAGGAGCTCGTAGATACTTACAAGTCTCCCCAGGAGCGATCCGATTCCGAGAAGAAGATTGACCTCCTCAAGTTCATTGTCAAGTCTCGCCAACGCATGCTTCGCCTCCACGTCCTCTCGAAATGGTGCCTACAGGTCAGCGCTAGGGTTTCTTCTCCCTTGCCCCCTTTAGGTTCTAGGGTTTTGATTTCGTTCACTTGCTCGCACAAGCTCGTTCGTTGATTCGCCTAACTTGTATTAGTTTTTCTGAAGAGGGTTGCATGGTAGTATTGTTATCATTGTTGTGCATCAAGCTCGTCGTGTTGGCGAAGTGAACTTAGTGCCCTTACTCCTTGCTGATTTTTGCTGCCTATTGTATTTCCGAATAATACTGGTTAATTATCCAACGGTCAGCTTATGGCTATTGTTGATTGGGTATGAGTGATATTGGTCACTCTGGCATTAGGTGGGCTAAATTTTATTGCTTTTTTGATGTAGTTCATCTGGCATGCTTTAAGGATGTCACGGGCTTGGTCGAATTCAACCAATTATTAGTTTAATATCGGCAAACAATTTAGTTTTTAGGGAAACAAATACTATTAGAGAATTTAGATCCCACCAAATGAAAGAAAGTGGCTTTTTGGTCATCATCATCATCATCAAGTCTTATGCAAACTAATGGTCAGTTTTTATGAGTCCTCACATTCTCTCTTTTTTTGGTCAATGCATGTTAAGTGTTCAGATAATTCCTTTAAAGTCATTTTGACTAAATTCTATCCATTGAAATTTAGTTCCACCCCTTTCCCTGCCAAACTCACTACACTAATTTTAACTACTTTCTGGCAGGTATATTTCTTATCATATGTTGTACATGTGTAAACTGACTAAGTTCATGATTGTGAATATTGAATTGAATCACGTGGTTGAACTTGTTGGGCCATGTATTGGGTTTCAAACCTGTTCGAACTGATTTAATATTTAGATTTGTAGGGAACCATGATCAATCCTTACAAATTGCAATATAACTGCTCAACCTTAAATTGTGAGTGGTTGAACTTATTCGAGTAGAGATTTCAATGGTTATATGGTGTTTTAATTTGATAATTTATGAACTTATTTCATTATATTTGTTACATTTCATGTAGTATTTACATATTATTACTTATTTATCATTATTATTGGAAATATCACATATTTTAAATAATTTTAGTTTATTTAATAATATCTATATCTCGTGATTTAACCTTCGATTTGATCCCAATTAAGACTTTGATTTATGAACCTTTATTTGTAATGTTTTAATGTTCGATATGATTCTAAAAATATTGCTCAAGTTTCTTTTTTTTAGTGTTTTTTAAGTTCAATAAATTTCACTCCTAGCTTCTCTCTAATATAATTATTTTTAGTTTATCCTTCATAGTTATGCTCCACATATTTTTTATAATTTTTCTTTATTGTCACACTAAATTTTCAATGATTTATTCACGACCTAACTTTGGGATCCATACAAATGGCGCTAATTATAGTTATATAAAATTTACTTTTAATCCATGATGATATCTTATCACACATAGTTCTCTAAGTCACTTCTACACTTGAACTCTTAAGCTTTAATTTTAGGAGTTTATATTTCAATTTATATCTTCATTCTGCTGTATAATCTATTTAAGATTCTTAAACTTATAACATATGGGTATCACCTTACATTCTAATAGTGTTGAATTATAATTATTAACATTATACAAATATATCGTATACTCAATATTTGTTCAACTAATTCTCAGGAATTTTTTGTGTACTTCAATTGAAAATTTATCAATTAGAATTATGTAATCTTCCAAAAGCATACACCAAGACACCTTGCTATGAATATACTTCGTAAGCAACGCAATCACCAATAAAAAGGGATTTATATTCAATGTTGACTTTGAACTTTCTTATGAAAAAATAGTCTTGTTAGAATTATTTAAATTGTTCCACCAAAACTTATGCTGTCCATGCCGCTTGATATCCCAAGCTTTCATGTTTAACACTCTTGTAACAATATATTATCGAATCCAATGAGATATTGTGCATTTGCCTCTTGCCATAATTCTTTTAAAAAGATTAAAAATTATGATATTTTCTTTGAGATCTTATTTCTTCTTCCAAAACTATAATGTGCATAGAAAATATCATTTACATAATTTTAATTGATGTCCGATGCACTTATGTGGTGGAACATGGTTTTTAAACTATGAACCATATTCAATGACTTGGGGCACGATTTAAATGGTTATTGAAGGCTCTACTTTATTCCATTGGTCAAGCAAAGTGGTCGCAGTTGCAACTATTGAGGCAAAAGCAGTAATAAATGCATGAGTATACCACTGAGTTCTGGTGATATGCCTTCTCAGTTAGCATTTCATTGCAATAAAGTCAAATTCTTGAAATTTGTTTTAGGATTGCTTGAAGATTTTTGCAAGAGCTCAAGTCATTTTACAGTTTACACTATGGTGGAGGCTAGTCCCAAAACCATCCTTATAAAAGAGAGAGAGAAGCTAAAATTGAAAGTTTGAAACTCTTTTGAAATAATGGCTGAAAGAAGAGTGATACGAAGGAGATAAAAGGCAAAAACAAGAAAATCCAATGTTAGCATTGATGGCTACCGACTATAACTTGCTAATGAATGAGCTCTTTAAGGCCAACGTCATAGTTCAAAACAATTGATTTAGAAAGCAACATGAATCTGGTTTCATTTCATTTAGTTCAGATGTTGGGGATGGATGCCTCCAGACATCCAAGGCCTTATCCTTAAGTGTGGATTGATGGTGACATTTATTGGTTTGTATGCTGTGATATGTGATGTGGTCCCATTGGATGTTCACCATTTTGTATGGGGAGTCTATATGTGGATAGGGATGCAATATGATTCAAAAGCAAGCAATTCCTTTTTTTATTTTCATATGGAAGGAAATTTTTCGTTTTGGAATGGCAGCTCTATAGAAGAGTTTCTAAAGCATTACTCAATTATAATTACATAAAATTTTAGAATAATGTATGAAAAATGTGACCCACTGCAGTTCAGACTTATAGGGATGAGATTGTTGTCTTCTTACAAAGCCTAATTAATTTTTTTTTTCTAGCTTCTGTATTTTTGTATGTTGATAATATTAAATTTGATTTTAAATAATCTAAATTAAAATATTTTTCCATACATATTAATTTATCAACCATAAAAAAAGTGGCATGATTTTAATTTCTAATTAATCTAATTTTATTCCTAGAATGATTATCACTCCCTTGGTCCATGGTACCTACACTAAATTGTGTCAAAATCTTTGAAAGATATCAAATAAGTTTGAATAGAAATACTTTTAAGTATTACTCTACGGTTTATGTGGACATGTTAATCATGTATGACCATTAGTTGTACAAGTACCACAAACTCTACTAATGTGAGAGGAAGATTCATCTATTCTATTTTCATACTGTCTAGTGTGTGGTCGACTCGATCATGTTTGAAGTTTGACAGAAGTTCTATGATGCAGCGAGGAACATCAAAATCGAGTAAACCATATTTTCAGAAATTACATAAAACTCTATGTTATAGGTATTCTGCTAGTGCTCTAATATGCTGTAACTAGATGCAAAAAAGAGATATTTCAATCAACATAAATCACTTGTAAAAATTATGTGAGTATGATGACATGTTCCTGGTCGGAAAAAATGCACATGCTAATCCCTCGCTATTTAATTCTACGTGAAACATCTAACTAGAAATGTTGAAAAATTCGTACTCATATAAGTTGATGATAGTTGGTATCGATGGATGTTTATATGGTCGTTTGAGAGGGAGGCAGGGAGGGAGCACTTTATTTGGAGAGAAATGGGGATAGGGGCACGAGTTAGGTGGCATTGGGTATAGAACAAGGTAGGTGACAAAGATCATAATTTTCCAAAAAATTATAAATATAAATATTATGCATATATACATGTAACAATTTTGTATGGAGCAAACACTGCCATCCTCCTCAGAACCTCTCGGGGTTGAAACTGGCATCTTTTTCTTAGAGGGTAAACTGCCCCTTAGAACCACTGTGGAAGAGGCTAAGGCAATGAAGGGCAAAGTAATATTTAAGGAGGACCAAAACTGGTATTTCAGATGAAGCAAAAGACCAAATTGCTATCTCATTATAGGTAAAAATTTGAATTTGAGGGGGAGCAATTACCCTCTTGAACCTTACCTAAGTCAGCCCCTGCAACCTCAGGCAACCTCTCATTGAAAAAAATCACCTGGATCCTCAGCATGCTATCGTGTACATTCATCACTTGCAGCGCCTTCACTCTTAACCCAACCTCAAACCTCTTCTTCCATCTCTCGTTCCCCACACGTGGACCCGAGAAAGAGAAAAAGCACATGGGCACCGCAACCTCGTAGGTAAAAATATTACGTGATGATGAGTCACGTGCAGCTTAGGTACAAATAGGTGTTATTGGGAGATATTGAGATGAATACCACCTCAATACTATCAATTCACACATGCAAATACTACACATAATATTCTCTCCCAACACTGACCCGCCACTGTCACGAGTGCTTCTTGTGTATGGACACCGCATGCAAATTTACGTGTGGTGTCCAATCTAGACCACCGAAATACTTTTTTTTTTATTTTTTTATTGTTAGAGTGGGACCCAGCCTAAATTTTTGACAGTCGAGATCGAACAACGACGTCCGCACCTAATCATATTTCCACTATCACATCGTATGAGCTCAACATTGCTAG